GGTCAAGAAAATACGCTCTGAAGCTAAATACTTCTGAATAATTTCATAAATAAATAATTTTCGGCAATATATATTACCCATCCAACTTGTAAATTTTGTAGTTTTTGTAGTTTTTTTTTATACAGGTAGCCTTAATTGTTTCCCGATATTATCAGGATGGTATATCAAATAATAAGAGTATCTTTTTATATAATCTTTTTCGATATCGAATAATAAGGAAAATATGCCTGTTTAAATGCCATGGTATATTTTTGAATATCTTAAAAGTCCTTCGAGATGTCTTATTGATTCAATCCCACGTCTGCGTAAGAGATGACACCCAAATTTCGTTTTCAGGTTCATAGAACTTCCATTGCATATGCTTTGTTTCTAACTTATTCTGTAAAACAAGTGCTTTAGTTGTATTGTCATTTAAAAAAAAAATAAAATTACATCTCTATTTTCAAATATTTTCTTAAAAACTGTTTAAAAAACATTTCTATTTTTAGTTCACGGAAAAGTTATACCAACATATAAATAAAAATTGACGTCAAACAGAATTGGTTTATTCATTATTACCGAGATTATTATACTGCAAATGCACCCTCTTTTGTAAATTTCTCATACGTGATTGTGAATTTCTCCAAAACTATTGGATTATCGAAAATAAACAGTACCTAGTACTTTTTTCTCTATAGGCTTAGATATCTATATTTTTAAAATATAAAAACGGCATAAAAATAAAAAAATGGGGATATAAAAGTGACAATCACCCTTGGAAATTGAATAATACTGAGTAAATTAGTGTCTAAATTTAAAATACGATTGTTGAAGCATCTAGAAGGAATTTTAAAATATTGCAAAAAACATCATTTCTATTTCATCTGCACTTATCTAAGGATATATCTCCCTTATTATCCTTTTTCGGCAATTTGTTTATATGTTTTTAAGTTACTATCGACCTGAAATATCCGGAGACAATGTAGGGCCAACTCATAATAATTATTGTATTTTTTACATTTATTTCAAGTTCAATAACAAATTTTTAAACAGTCACAGCATAAAAATATACTTGGATAAAAAAACTTCATTAAATATACATGCAGTGTTTGAGACACGAATTTCAAATAAATCAGAAGTAGAAACAATGTTAAAATAGACTGGATTTGGGAAAGTTTCCACCGTATTAAAGTATATAAAAATAAAATTGTGTCAAACTCATCTGTAGAGTATAAATTTAGTCCTACTTAATACTGAAAATATGCAAAATACTGTAAACATGAGCTTAAAATATCCACGTAATCGCCATGTGAATATATACATTTTTAGTCCGTACTATCGTAGGCGAAACAGAAGTTTAAACTGAAAGGAAATCTTGCAGTTCAATTAATTGTTTCATTTTAACGAGTAACTGTTTGTTGTTTAATTATAAACCAATTGTTTTGATGTACAAATCAACAGTTCCATGCAATTCTATTACATAGCCGGAAACAATTCTCTTGAAAATTTGAAAATTTGTACGTTTTATGTTAAAAAATTTTAATTAACATCCGAAATTTAAAAAAACAGTCAACAAAAGTATTGTCAACTGACAAGCAAAACAGGTAGGTACTCAGTATTGAAACACGCGTTGCTCTAATGTCGTTCAAACTGTTCCCAGGTCTAATTTTAAGACCTTAACTAATATAACTCTTCTTTTGATGTTACATTTTAATTAAGAAAATCAAAATATGAATATACATTTCTAACTAAGCTTCTTATTTTAATAAATACATAAAAATTTCGTATAAAAGATTTGAGCTCTTGGTATTTTAGCTACTGTAAAAATTTTAGTCAATCTTATTGCAATATCCAAAATAAAGAATAAAGCTAAAGCCTGGTTCATAGTCATTTAATATATAATGTTGGTTTTTGGACCACAAACACAATATCACCAGGAGAGTCTCTGGATATTTATCTCTCATAAAAAGTTTGAGACATAGAGGTTCTTGTCAACCAGGATTTGTTAAGAAATTAAAAAAATTGCATTGCAAACTTTTTAAAAGTAAGTTCAAGGTCTTGTTGACAAAATGTTACTCTAGTCAAATGTCATAAAGGACTTTGTCTTAAAATATAATTTCGACAAAAATTATATAGTGCCTCATTTAAATAGATATATGTTAAATTAATTAGCGCAAACAATTGTTCCACTCTAGATAAATACATGAGTAAAAATAGAATCCTCAATTCTGACTCAACACTCATCACATCAGCATCTGCACCAAGTATTTCCGATCATTGATAACGCGGCTGCATACTATATCCGATTGTTTAATTGAAAATAGAATTTTCGGCAGTGATGGGATGCAACATTTTTTGGTCCCAATGGTGTGTACATGGGCGTATTTTGATACATCCCGAAATATCACTTCAAACACCTACACTGGTAGCCTTTGCCAGAATAGCGTAATTATTATGAAATTAACCAGAAATACTTTATAAAATATACGAACGTGTGGATGGACTGAAAAGGATATCGAAAACAACTTCATTTTTTGATTGTCGACAGTAGCGAATGAAATACTGAAAGACACAAAAAATCCGTGAGATTAATTACGTGTTCTTCAACAAGTGAACTCGATTATCAACTGTTACAGTTAGATAACTGGATTCTATACAAAAAAAGTCACTTGACAGCTTGATTTTTTCAGAAAAAAACCCATACCTAAATCGGAACAAGCCCAATTTTGTTTTTAAGTTGCTCTGTTCTAAATGTCAAAATGGTATGTTGATTACTGGTGGCAGAATTCATTTTACAAATTAAATTTACCGCCCTATATCTTCATAACCAAATACGATAGACTCGGAGTTCATAGAAAAACCCATCTCGTTTTTCCCCCTAGTACATATGGTATGTCCTGAAGCACTATGTATATAAATGTTATTAGATAAGTATTTACTTTTCAAATTATTTAGGAACATTTATTGATTTTTTGCTTCTAATTGAATAAAATTACATCTTCGTTGGAACCCACGCAATAAGTGGGAAGACGTCGAGTCAGGAAAAGTTTGATGAAAAATTTAATTAGCAATTCCTGTTTTTGTTTAAAATAGAATATAGAAATATTTGGAGTACAGAAGGATGAAATTTTATAAGATTGCATAAATTCTCTTTTGTAAAAGTAAATTACTACAATTAGTAATATTTACCGAGAAGTTAAAAAAATGTAGTATGACACAATACAAAATAAAATATGCAGGATCAATATAAATTAACTGCCACTTTTTCCTGGAGCCACAAAGGAGTTTTAAATATAAAATTACCTTTTCTGTTTAAATAATTTAAACGTTACACTAAACTGTCTTCGGTTTTCTTAACTAGAAATGTTTTTTCAGTGTATATATTTCATTTGCTCTAGTTATTTTCTGTGTCACCGCTCTAGTTAAGTCAGTCATTTCGAGAATCATGCGTGCCTTACATTTGACACACCCTGTACAAGAAATGCATATCTAATTTTCTCGATGCGTATAGAAACAAACGCAAAAGGTTCGCGTGTTACCCGTATTTCCATATATGTATATTATTTGCGGTGAATAAACACTTTGTTCGGGTAATTAATGTTTATTATTATTTTTTTCTTTAAATGTATCCTGTTCGTGTGATTGCGCGTTTCGCGGACTTTCAAATGAGAAAATTCGCCGAGAAAATATCCATGATTATTTATTCATCAATTTTCCAACCGAGTAGCTGCTAGTTAATGCGGAAAAACGTGGTTTAATTAAAAATTGGGTCGGAATTATACTGAATCAAACCGGCTTCATTTTGTGATACAAATTGTGTTGGCCCATTTATTGAAAGTTTGATTATTGGTTTATTTTTATAGAATCATCTCTTAAACGCACACAAAACTGGATCTAATCTAAAATGAAAACATCGAAACAATCCCAAGAATGCCAAATAAAAGACCAACGGGTTCTTTAGGTCTGATTATATGGTATACTTCAGCGTGCGTTTATTTTTAGCTCATCTTTCGAACTTTGTAGGTTAAACATGAGCAATGGATTCACAAATATAACTTTAGCATCGTTTAAAATATTAGTCTTTCTGTAAAATGATACCTTGATTTATATATACAGTGCAAGTAAAAAAACCTATTCATAATGTACCCTAAATATTTTAACATACATTTTTATAAACACTAAGATGTCCTACTGATTATTTCTTAATCAAAAGATCCAAGACAATTCAGATAAATACGTAATAAAATAATATTCGATAGTACATAGTATCTTATCCTTAAATACACTGATCAAAACCTTCGTTTATCATTTTGCCCTTAAATATAAAACGGACAGGAAAGATTCTCGAAACAAGAGAAGAATTCTTTATACAATGCAATAAAATTTTCTGTGTCCATCTGGATGATTTCGAGTCTTTATGAAAACATAACCTTAAAATAAAACGTAAATTTATCGAAAACCTGAAGTACCCCAAAAAAGAAATACTGAAAAGGAAAACGCAATCTACTAATATGGGATACAAAATTTAAGCCGCATTGCTAAAATTGTTCATTTGGTAACTTTTCTTCTAAGAAACAGGCGTACCAACATCGAGACGAAAATGTCGAACGCACACTGAGATATTTCTAAGGGTATTTTTAGATCTTGCAATAGTTTATAGGTTACACGCGAATAATCTTCAAAAATAGCGAGTGTAGCACATACAAATCTGGAAATTCAAGATACCACCAACTATTTTCAAACGGTTGGCATCGGGCTTATGCAACTACCAAAACATTTCTTAAATATATAGTTAGTAAGGTTAACAAATCTGGTACAAATTCGACTATTCAGTAAATTAGTAACTTAGTTTTCCATTAAAAAGTTAGTGATGTGTGGACTATACATTTTTCAGTGGTACTGGTTTTATTTTATTAAGTGATACTGTACCTTTTCGACAAGTTCGCACATTACAAACACACGTACACGACACTTTTTAATGGAAACCATGGTAAAAAACCACCAAAAGCACTGTAACCTACCTGTGCCTGAAGGCGGTCAGAGGTTGACGCTGTCCTAGTAGCTACAGGCGTCGCGACGGCCTGAAAAACGTCGCCGTCCACCTCTACCAGTTTCCCCTACCAGTGTCCCACCACTGTCTGCCGACGGAGGCTTGATTATGCTGGTGGTCCCCAAAATGTTGGGGTTTGTTAGCTCTCTAGGACAGGTCATACTTTTTCTTACCGCGGTATAAAACCGGTTGATATTGATTCTTGAGGATAATTCTGAAAGATTCCAGGTGTCCTGATCGTCCTAAGAACAACCAAAGAAAATGAAATGTTAATTATATGGGTAGGTAATAAAGATATTTATTTAAATTTAAAAAACAAGAACAACCAAAAATGTTTTAAAAAACATTATTAGCTCTCGCATTAGAGTTTTGCTGACAGTCTAGGAACATCAGTTCGGTACCGTGGTCATTTGGACATTTCGAAAAGCTCTACAAGGTAACATATTGACGAGTTTCTAACCTGTAGGGACATACAATAGTTATTTACACCATAAAGGAGGTAAGTATTTACCAGTCGAGGACGATTTTGCGCTCGAGCAGAGCGAGGGCTGGCAATAGAGTCCGAGACTGGTAAATTATACTTAACTGCTGCGTGGTGTATAACATTTTATCTGCCCCCACAGTTCTTTATGGTTCATAAAAAAAGATTAGGTTTCATTTTTTGACATTTATTGTCTTGGTGTTTCTGAAATGTCACTGCTAGCATATTTCATGGAGAAGTCAAGAACTTTAAAGTCACCGGTGAGTTTGTGGAGTGAATACTCAATGATTAAGTCAACTATTTTCATAGATGAAAACGTGGATAAATCAAAATACCCCAGAGCATTTTTGAAATGTAAGAATGACGGCTAGCAAGAATACCCTTTCTATGATTCCCAATAAGATTGCACAGTTTTAGAAACTAGAACATCCTGAAACATATACAGGCCATTTATTCCGAAAAACATCGGCAACGTTACTGGCTAATACAGGAGTTGATGTATTAGCAATCAAGAGACATGGTAGGAGGAAAATAAGCCTCAATTGCAGAAAGTTAAGTTGTTGACAGTTTAAGTAACTCCAGTTTCCAGTAGTACGTCGCATGCTGTTTTAATAGATCAGTCAGATAATATTTAGCTTCCGGTGACTGAAATGGAGCGGACAAATCATTTTGAGAAAAATGTGACAATTAGTAAACGCGAGGGGAATAATTACCCAGATTTTATAAATGTTACTAAATGCAGCATTATATAACTGTACAATTATACTATAAATATTCATTCATAATAATTAATAAAATGTAATGTTCATCAAATACTTCTATTTATTTGTTCATAAAATATGCATTTTTAACTCGAAATCGCTTTTTTCCTAGGGAGGTAAGTTACCTCACTTACCCCCCGTTGTCCATAGCAACTTCCACTTCTACGGTAAAATCCACTTACCTCCTTAGAAACAATGTATTAATAGTCTATTTACTATAGTGGGAACAGATAAATACAATTTTTCTAGCAGAACACGGCAGTCAATTTTATATTTAATTAAAATATACATAAAAGAAATTGCTGAATTGCTTCTAAACAGGAACAGTGCAACTGTAAAGCAAGGAGTAGCACATTATTGTCTACGATATACTTCTCTTAAGATATACACATTTTTTTTAGAAATAAACTTTATAACATCCCCTGAACCTATCCTATTAGATAAATAGAATGTTGGTAAAGTTCCAATATTATTGACTCTTACTCTGATTTACTCCTTATGAGTAACAATTTCATTGAAGTAACATTAAAAAAATAGCTTATAAATAATAGCTAATAAAAAATCCTAAGGTCGCTACTATACCTAAATCGTTAATATAGCTCATAAAAGTAAGTTTAGAATCAAACAATATTCCCAATTTTTTATCGGTTGATCAATTTTTAATAGGAGTATTATTAATTTGATTATTATTATATTGTGACTGTTCCCTATTTCATGTATGAGACTATACGGATATACAGGGTGTCCCGGTACTTGATACAAAAAAGTCAAGTACAGTTAGATCAGTTCTTCATATAAATTTATTTCATACAGGCATTCGTTAACAAGTTACGGGCCCAAAAAGTGAAAATTAAAAAAATATATTTATTTAGTCTCTAAACCATTAACTTCAGCATGATGCAAATTTGGTGACCGATAACACATGCGTACAGCTTGTTTTTGATGTTGTAAGTGAAACTTCATTATGTCTAGAACGCCAGGGACGGACTATGCCCAATGGTTAACAACCCAGAATTTTTGCTCAATCTGCCTGTATAAAAAATAAGTTCCTTGAAGAATTTACCAACGATAATACTTTCTTGGTTCATGTCGGTAAAATTAGCAGTTTAGGAAATATTTATGATTTTATATGTTATAGTGCACATCGAGCGGCGCATCCACCATATTTTGCTTTTAATTTTTAATTGGCTATAATTACTATGTCAGAACCGTACATATTTTAAAAATAAGAGCATAGAAAATCTTACTGTCTGCTAATGTTATTTTCACCAACAAAATTTGACAAACACACTTTACACATAATAAAATAAAAAAACAAAACAAGAATAAGTTAGTGTTAAAAAAATAATTTAAAAGAACGAAAACTATCAAAATACATTTTCAATATGGGCACTTTCCACCTCCACACACTTCCTATGTCTACGAGTGTTATTTGTTTGTACACGCAAAAACATTTCTGGGGTATGTCTAATGTTATGACAATGGATATTAATTCTTTGTATCAATTCATCCCTTGTCTGTACTGGGATTGCGTATGCTAAGCTCTTCAGGTATCCCCACAGGAAGAAGTCCATCGGGTTAAAGACTGGAGAACGTGGTGGCCATGAAATTGGACCAATCAATATAGAAATGGCGAGGAGCCCTTTCGTGCATGAATCAAATGTTTCTCCGGGAGTCTAATGGAACATCGTCTAATGGTGGCCGTAAATTATTTTACAAAAACTTCAAATATCGATGTCCATTCAGACGTTCCTCAAAAACGTATGGACCTATTAAATTATTACCCCAGAAATGCTTTTTTGTGTACAAACAAATAACAGTGTTGACTTCTTTAATAGAACGATAAAGAGATTATTTCATTTCATTTCTTAAAAGGACCGCAAGTTTAGGAACGCCTCGTATTCGTCGGAAATGAGTCAGCCACCGCTAGACCCGCGAAGAAAAGAGCAGCAAACCCGACCTTGCCCCATAACAGCTTCTACGTCCATTCCTTATACAAGTAAAGCACCCACAGAAGTACCCGAAGAATCCTGCAATTACCATTTCCGTGACGGGGCCGAATTCGACGCCACGGCCCATTTGTTTCGTTGCACGCGGAATGGCCCAATTTACCGACCCCTGGAATGATAATACTAGGGGTAATAGGCCCTTTTCGGTACATTTGCGTTGGCGTGCGAGAAGTGTGTCGTCATGCGGGTCAGTGGAGCACGTCTCTGTCCAATGCCGCACTCTCGCTTTTACGAGGCTATTTTCTAAGGATAGCTATAGCATGATTCGAAATACTGATGACATAAAACAACTAAACAATTCAGTACGATAATATTGTTAATATTAACGATAAGTTATTCGATCTTGTCTAACTTACAAGAATCGCTTGATCCTTTACGAACCATTGATATTCCTCGCCACCCTTTGAATATAATTATATTTATCTCAAAATAGTATTAAAAAGAAAATTAGGCTTTCTGTTTTAGAAAGGCAGATTATCGTGGTTTGTATCAGCATTTAAGTACCCAGGACTTTATACAGGGTGTTTCTGAAATAAATGCGTTCCTTAAAATGGGTACGAAAATGAGTAACTTTCATTAAGCAACGGATGATCTAAATCTGTTTTCGAGAAAATTAACTAAGAAAAGTAACCATAAATGTAAGTAGACCCTGTGCATCTTGTGCACGTGCATTGTTTGCTGCAGTATTACTTAGCCAGCGTATAAAATGTTTTCTGATCAAGAACTATCAGATATGGTGTTAATGTGCGGAGAATGTCAGTACAATTTAAATGAGAGTTGTCGTTTGTATGCGGTCCGTTACCGTAACAGACGACAACCTAACAGAACAGTGTAAAAGGTAGTTCAAAGGTCACGGGATACAGGGAATGTCCACCTGACAGATGAAGGTCGTGGACGGGAAAGGCCGCAACATGTTTTCGACAATGAAAGAAACATCATAAACCTCGTTGAGGAAGATCCGAGGCACAGTACTCGCGACATGGGTCGAGAAGTGGGTGTATCTAACAGTACCGTGTGGGTGTACTACGGGAACAATTATTACACCTCTATCATGTACAAAGGGTTCGGGCAGGTGTGGAATTTTGCTAGTGGTTTCGACATCAAATAATACAAGATTTTGCAAACAAGGTGCTTTTTACGGATTAATGTACGGATCATAGTAGCATTAGCCAAGAAAAAATATTCACCTCCACCAGTCAAAGCAGTTTCCTCATTTTTGATTAACTATTTTTATCGGTGGTGAAGTAAAAATGAGGAAAGAAACCTATAAGAAGCAGAAGTTATTACTAATGAAGAGGCTGCAAATAGGTTGAAAAAGAAAATTTACCTAAACCTGAAAAGAAAGTATCAAATACAAAGACAGCAGATGATATAAGGAAAGAAACAGCAGGAAAAAAGATTCTCTCGCTGTCACAATTATATGGTTGTAGTAGCGATGAAATAATTTACAATAATATCAGTGACGAAGATTTTGGAGAAGAGATTATGGAGCACGATTCTCTAAATGAATATATAAATGAACTAAACAAATTAGTATTAAATCTGTAGTCTTTTGCAGTCCGTACAATATTTATTGAGAATTCCAAAAGAATAAGCCAATAAAGTTCTGTTGTCGAAACTACGGTAACAATTTACCGTGGCAGGGCCGTGTCTGGAATTTTCCGCCGATGTCTTTATACCTCGGATGTCGATTGCGGTTGATTCCAAGAAAGTGATGCAGGGGTCTTCTTGTAATTCTATCTCAACAAATATAGTACAAACTGTGTAAACCTGTGGAAAGTTAAGTCACTGTTACTGACTGACTTATTATTGGATCT